AAAAAAAAAAAAGAAAGAAAGAGAGCACACTGATGAGTGATGGTTAATTATTCTACACTTTCACACCCAGCTGTAAAAATAAGACAGAAACTAAACATGAACTTAATAGCTGTGTCATTATTAGGAGCAAGAATGTGAGGACTCACAGCAAGAGAAACAAAAGCATCAAAGCAAAAAGTCTGTTCCTTTTAACACAGTTCTAAAATAGTGGAAAATAGCCATCTTGCTACATTAAAAAAACAAAATGGAATAGGCATGGCTTCATTAACTGCTCTACTATTTCTTTAGCCAAAAATAAAGGTGAAGAAAAAGAAAAACAATGGCATTAAACATTAAGTTTTCAATTAACTTGCATGTTCCAAGACTGAATTAATTTAGTTTGTTGACTTTTATGTTTTAACACAACAAAATAAACAAACACCCCTTCAAGACACGTGAAGGACTCAGGGTAAGAAAACACTGTACCCTTGAAAGACGTGTTAAACCTGGATGACTGTAGGCAGATCAGGTCATATTTCCACAGGATGGTACTTGTCCCTTCTGAGTGGGTGCAGTAGGAGAGCAATAATCAAGTGTTTTATGAAGAGGGGTGAAAGCTGACAATATTTATGCTTTCTTGTTATATGTTTTGTACTACATTAAAGGACTAAAGTAAATCGTGTTCCCACTGTAAGGCATATTCATTCTTCTATCAAGACAACTCTTGTGGAAGCTGAGTTGAGTTAATCTGTACATAAACTGCATTTGTTTTGTCTGTGGTTTTACTCATATTCAGCTGATCCTTGACCTCAGGGATTTTGCAGACAAAATCATATGTTTCTCCTCAGGACAGCCTGGGCTTTGAGTCCTCATGAGATCTCCATGGCTCTGCAGACTAATTGTCAGCTTTTCTTTCTTGTCACCAGGTAGTTCTTTTTGCCTGTCCTCCCTCCAGACTCCTTCCAAACCAAACACCTTGGTTTTTGCCAGATCTCTGCCGCCCACTCAGCTAAGGTAGACATTTATTGTCATAATGGCATGGAGGAAAATATTCCCTGCAGTTTACATACCACTCTGTATCTAGAACCTGAGTGCTGCTGCTGTCCCTATGGTGAAAGCATTGGGATTTTGTCTCAACAAGCTTGTTCCCCAGCAGCCACTGTTTGGCTTTCAGGGCAGATCTCTCAGGCTGCCCTAGACACTGGTTCACTGGGATCCCTGTTCCTTGCACACTGGCCTACATGTAGATATTAAAAGTTGGCTAAGTGTTAAACCTCGATCTCTACTCATTGTAGTGAGTTCTCTCTGTCTTGTTTCCATCAGGGATGAATGCAGAGATTTTTCTCTCTGGTGGTTCTGTAACCTTCTAAAATTTAGTTCATTTCTGTTTCTTTTGTCATCAGTTTCCTGTTGGGGTCACGAAAGAAACTATGACTTTGAAGATCGTCAGCAGTCTCCTGTAATTCTGTACATCCTAGCCAGGATCAAAATTTCTATTCCTTTCAGTTCATAAGTTATTTCATCACTTTCTTAAATTTAGTGCATATACTTTGGTCTTACTTGTTAAATTCAAATAATAGATTCTTTTAAAAAAGATACAAGAACCTTTTAGAGTATGCTTAATCTGCAGTGTACATCTGTTTCCTTTTAGGGACATTTTCATTTAATTAATGAAGATAAAATGCATTTGTTTTTATTATTAAGGTATAAATTGACAATGATATGGGTAATTTCCTTTTTATTCCAGACAACATACAGTTTGTTTCACAAATATTTGTCAAATGGCAATTTCAGAAGAAGAGAATAAGATGTGTGTAGGAATTTTTTCAAGGAAAGCCCGATTTTAGCACTTTCATGAATAAAAGTAAACAGATGAGTTGGCGGAGATCAAGGAAACTGTGATATATTTCTTGTGTAGAGCTGTTTTTAAACAAGGGGGTCAAGGGAGGGCAGGGACAAGAGGAAAAAGTGAGAACCAAGACCTGTCATGTAAAGGTGCAAGATCCCAATAATGAATGTAACTGTACTGTATACCTAAAATGTACCAATAAACTCAATGAAAAATAACAATGAACATAGAATTCTACTTAGAGTTTCAAGCAACAGCAAACCTTGCCAGGGCTATGGCATTCATAAAACCTCAATAATGTAAACATAACACACAGGAAACTGATAACTGCAGTTCTGCCCCTTCTCCTGTTTCATGACAGCGAGTGGAAGTGTTTAAGGGCCAATGCAGACAACTGCTCTTTGAGCTTTTGGGTCTCATTTGTTTTGTATGAGGTGTGCCTGCTGACCCAGATCTTCCCAGACACTTCTCATTCCCAGCCTATTCTGTCACACTGTTTTTAACTCACCCACTGAACTGTCCCTTGTATTGTCATGGGCCTGTTCATAATTTGCCCTATTGGCTTCTATTCATACATTTCTTAATATGTGTGCATCTCACCTCAGTCTTACTGATCTGATACCAACTTTGGTGATGTCTGACTCTGGGGAAGGTATAGATCAAATGAAATAGCCTCTCACTACATTGGAAAATGAGCTGAATCTTTATGTAATCTTCTTCAAATAGAAAATTATCTTCAAATTCTCATAGTGATTTACAACTTCATTAGTTACCAACTTTCTAACCTTTGTAAAGCATTAATATTTTCTCCATGTAAAAACTCAGTATGAATTTGTTGGTCTGTATGACACTGAAGAAGGTAATACCTTGCTATGCTTGTACCTAGCTGTCCCTCTGAAGCCTCATGTGGTCCTAGATGGGGAGTTTTAAAGGTGGCTGTAGTAGGGCATGTGAATGTGGATTAAGTATGTGCTATTGGGATTAAATGTGTGGATAATGGAAGTCCTACCCTGTGTAAGGGTGGCACCAATTAATAGACTTGAAGCAGGATAGAATATAAAGGAACAAAGAAAGGGCAGGCTTGCTGCTGCTACTTGCTCCTTCAATGCCTCCTGCCTACCCTGCCATGGACTGTTTCTCCTCTGTGATGCCCCTCCACCACGCAACCCTGACTTCAAGCCAGCCAACTATGGGCTGAAACCGCTACAAACTATGAGCTGAAATAGACTTTTCCTCCTTTAACATGTGGGTGCCAGGTGTTTTGTCCCAGCAATGAGAAAAGTTAACTATGACAGGCCTGGAAAACTTGAGTGCCTAGGAGGATTATCTGGGAAACATTTAATCTACCAATACTGTACCTGCCCCAGATTCATCCCTCATTGGTGCAGCTGTGTCTGAGGTGCGGATGCTTCCCAAGCTCTGGAGGTGAGTGCAGGATGCAAGAATACTAAAGAACGAAATTCAAAACCCTGACACATAGTTCAGCAGCAGTAGCTTCCCCAGAGGCTCTTAGAAGACAGACATTGAAAATCACCTACCCCACATTTTCAAGGGCTCTGATTTATTCCATCCGGAATCTGTCATCTATAAAATTAAAATTAAGAGGCAGAACTATTCTGGCCCTTGAGTGTTAGACAACTTCCATTTCTGAATATCTGAGGCAATTCCCTTATAAAGGGAAGAGGTTGACTTTGCCCACATTTTGGAGGATGCAGTCTATGTGGGGGGCCCCAGTGCTTCTGGGCTGGTGGTCAGGGTGGGACAGCACATTATGGCAAGTGAGAGGGTGTTCTAGAGAAGCCCTTTTCACCTCAAGTCGAGGAATGAGAAACAGAGACAGGAAGAAGAGACAGAAGCGCACCCAGTGACTTCTTAAAGGTCCCCACCTCCCAGTGCCAGCCCAGGGATGAGACTCTTACACGCAGGCCTCTGAGGACACTCCAGATTCAGACCACAAGCACTTTCCACTCTGGAATTCCTACTCTACTTCTGAGCAGAACCTTCAAACTGATCTCTAAGTCTTTACTTGTGCAAATGAGAGAGCAGAAATGATGCCTCTCTCTTTTAATTCTAATTTCACAAATTAAATACAAATGTGATTCTCAAGAATTTGTTAAATTTGTGTCATAATGTCATCTTCATATACCTTTGCCACTTTCCTTGCCTAGAATTTGCTTTTCATTTCTCCCTCCTCATTAGGACTCTACCCATCATTTAAAACATAGGTACATTCGTACCTCCTTTCTGAAACGTCTCTTGAAAAGCGATATCTCTTCTTCATAATTCTTTTATCAATATAATAACATCCCCAAAAGTTACATGTACATTATTCTTTTTCTCAATTAATTTATAATTGTTTAAGTCAGGAATTGTGCCACACTCCTTTTCTATCCTACTCCAATATCTAATTTTTAAGGGAATTATGTATTGTTAAAATGTAAATGGGAAACAAAAATCAATTTTCACTAACTCACAAGAATACTTACTCAGAATGCATATATCACTCACTCTTCTCCCTCACAGACTATCATCTTCGTTAAGTTCCTGCCCCCTTGAGTGAATCACCATCATCCGTGTCTTTGGTGTTTACCCTTTCCTTCTTGATGCTCTGCAGCCAGGTAGGCTGCAGGCAAAATGGTGTTAAACAGTGTGAAACAGGGAAACACTGCCCTTGGTCCTTTAGATGATAACATTAGACTTAGTCATTGTTACAACAGTGTTTCACATGTGCTGGGCATATAAATGGATTATAAGCAGTATTCCAATAAACTATGCAGAGACGCAAAGTTTCTAAAATATTCTACTGGTCTTGTAACATTTGGAAATATGACTTTCTATATTCATAAATAAGCTAAATAATACATAGTTATTATAGAAAATATGGATTCAATAAAATAAAAAAGGCATTGCTTGAAGTTATAAAGCCCAAAATATAATTACTGTGAACACTAAGTATGTATCAGTTCAGACTACCAATTTATGTGTGTAATATATGCTATGTTTATACTTTTTAAGCAGAAGATGACATGTTACTGCTACATAGCTTACTTTTATTTAATTAAGCATATATCAAAACATCGCTTCAGCTAGCAAATACATTTATCATAAAATTAATTACTGATGTCTACATTAAAATTTACATAACCACATATCTTTAGAAAATGAAGTTGTTTCTATTTTGGGGTAATTATAAACAATCATATGATGAAAAATATCCCTCAGAAACAAATTCAAGTGTTTCCTTAGAATAAAAGTCTAGAAGTATAATTGCCAATTTCTAACTTATTAACATTTTTTACATCCTGTGGGGGGAAAATCACTAAATTGATCTTCCTTCAGAAGTTTTTACTAGTGTAATCTTGCCTTACAAGTTTGGAGTTATCTAAAACATTTAATCAATTAGTTATATTCTTGGATATAGCATATATTAAAGAATCATATACAGTGGAATCTGATATAATAAAAATTGATTCAGTTAAAAATACTCACATTCATTTTGAGGGCAAACTTCACTTTGAAGAGATTGGAAGTTATAATATGGTATCTCATGTTTGAATATAGATGTAAGAATATTATCAAGTTCTTCAATATCATTCTGTTTTCAAATGACAAGGAAATTTTCATTAGTTCAGCTATTTATATAGCAATTCATCTTAGTGCAGTATATAAGAATGTATTAGCTAAAGCAAATATCAAGTAATCTTTAGTAATAATGAAAGCTATATTTTTCAAAAACAATGTAAACTACCATATCTTGCTTAACAAAGCTAGTTACTGAGATAGTAAAAAAAAAAACTGATGTAAGAAATAAAATCATTTGGTTTTAGATGAGTGGCTATAAGCTTACTTAAACATTTGTAAGTCTTTTTTTTTCAGTACCAGGGATCGAACTTAGGATCTTGCACTTGTGAGTCAGGCACGGTGCCACCGAGCTAAATCCCCAGCTAAACATTAGTAAATTTTAAAACGCTGTTACAACATATTAATGATATCACTGATTTTTTCAGTAATAAGTTCTGGTAATTAAATGATACAATAAAATGGTGAGTCTGGTTCTTCAATTTAAGGGTAAGGAATGGGGTGATCTCAATAGCATCCATCATTTCTGTGACTGAATGGAGGAGAAGTTTCATCTTACACCAGCAGACACAGACAGTCCTATCCCTTCTGCTTCCCCAGGCTGAGGCACTTTAGAGGGCCAATCTAGGATCCAGTTGTCCCATTGCTAGTGAAATAAGTTGTCACAAGTCATTATTTCCAAATTGTATTATGTCCCAAATGCATGTTAAATGTTCAGTATAGTTTGAGTGGGAGAATGGGTAAAAAGGAATTAAAATAGAGGTAATATTGATATACTTTGATAAAATGTATCAAATGAAAATACAGTAGACCACATACTTGAGTGTGTGTGTGTGTATATGTATATGTGTGTGTGTGTGTGTGTGTGTATATATATATATATATATATATATATATAGAGAGAGAGAGAGAGAGAGAGAGAGAGCAATCATTAAACAATACATAGAGATGCACCTAAAGTATCCTGATAAATATAAAAGTTCTTTAAAAATTTTAAGTAACATAAAAGAAGGTAAGAAAAAATAGACAAATTAATAGAGATTGAAAAAAATTTTGAACAGTAACTAAAATCCTAACATAACATTACATATAAAGGGTCTGAGCATGAAGGTGAAGAGCCAGCTATTAGTGGAGTAGGTTAAGATACATGAAGTAAAGACATATTTTCTTTAAGAAACTTAATTTCAAAATACAAAGCACAAAGGTTGAAAGTAAAAGGTATTAAAGAAAGATATATCATGCAAACTTTACAAAGGAAAACAATATCTGTATTAATATGAAGGATCAAATAAAATCACAGGAAACCAAAAGGACAATATGTAATGATAAAAGAGTCAATCCACTGAGAAGACATAGTAATATTAAATATGTATTCACCAAAGAACAAATCTAAACAATATGTACAGCAAAACTGACAAAATTGAAAGGTGAAATAGACAAGTCCACAGCAGCTGAAGAATTTTGCATTCATTTCTTGATAAATAGAATATCAGAAAGAAAAAAGAATACTCCAAACCTCATTATCTAATGATATTACCAATTAGCATCTAATAAACATTACATAGACCATCCCATCCAACAAGACAATAAAAAATTCAAAATACAATTCAGAATACAATTCAAGCCCTTCTCCACTGTTGGTTGGGAGTGCAGACTGGTGCAACCACTGTGGAAATCAATATGGAGATACCTCAAAGAACTACGACTACAGGTTCCATTTGACTCAGCTATCCCTCTGCTGGATATCTTTCCAAAAGAATTAAAAGAATCATTCCACAGTGATATATGCTCACACATGTTTATAGTGGCACAGTTTGCAATAGCTAAAATTTGGAAACAGCCCAATTGCCCATCAGTTGGAAATTGGTTAAAGAAGATGTGTTTTTTAAAAATAAAATGGAGTACTACTCAGCCATAAAGAATGAGAAACTAGAGTCATTCATAGGAAAATGGATGAATATTGTGGTCAAACTGTTAAGTGAAATAAATAAGACACACATGTGAATACTGAATAGTTTCTCTAGTGCAAACAACTAAAAGTATAAATAAGATCCAAATTATGTCACTGACAATGTGAAATAGGAAGAAAAGAGCTAAAGGTATAGGGGAAATGGGAAGGGTAGGGAAAGAGAAATAAGGAAAAATAAAAAATATGAGAAAAGAAAAAAGTGGAAACAAAGTCTTGGTGAAGGTAGGGCAGGGGTATGGGAAAAAAATGAGAACCAAGATCTGTCATGTAAAGTTACAAGATCCCAATGATAAATGCAACTGTAAAAAAAATTATAATCACCTGAAATACACACACACACACACACACACACACACACACACAGGCCATACAACTGATGTTACATTAAGCCATATTCTGGTACATAAAACAAATTCCAGTGAATTTACAAAAATTTAAGTCTTACAAAAATATATTTTCATAGAACACAAAGCCATTTTATAAATCCTTAACAGAATAGGAAAGTGTCCAAACATTTAGAAAGCAAGTAAAACACTTCTACATGATCCATAAGTCAGAGAAAAAACACAAGAGAAATTTTAAAAATGCATTGCACAAAATGGCACTCAATTATAGCAAATCAAAATCAAACAAATTTAAAGTGTAAAAACAATAGAGGAAAATCAATGCAAGAAAGAAGGGGTTGCATTGAAAGGTCAGCAAAATTGACAAAATTCTAACAAGACTGAGGAAGGAATAAAGGAAAGAGATGATTACAAGTATCACAAAGAATGTCACTACAGACCCTCCAGATAACAAAAGGGTAACTACGCAATGCCTTTTAACTGCTCTGCACAATCTACTTTGACACCTTACCCCAAATGGGCTCATTTCTTGAAAAACAAAAGCTACCAAAACATACAATTGCTCTTTTATTTCTACAAGCACATGTGAATCTACAATTGCCATAAAATTAAAAGTTTAAGAAAATAGAAACAAGTAAGTGCCTCAACCAAGAAAGGCATTCATTATATGAGGCTGAATTCCCTGAGCCACAGTCCTTCAAGTCAAATTTGCTCTTTTCTTGGATGAGGGATGTGAAATGCCATTGAGAGACAATCTTGGCAGGATTTTAGGAAACTGCGATGCAATGTAAGTAGCTGGGGGAATCTTCAGATCACTGGGGTGAAGCGAAAGGCTATGCAATGTAGGTATATGATAACCTATGCAACAAACAGACTCAGGAGTTTGAGTAGTGGTAATAACCATCACATGTCGAGCACTAATAATGTGCTAGGCTTTATATAATTTATCTCCAATTTGCATAGTATCCTGAAAGGTATACTCCTTTTACATATGTGATTATCAAGATACAAAACATTGCATAGTGTACTGGGGGTGAAATAAATATTTTGACTTCTAAAGACAATACACTGATAGTATACATGGTTTAATCATGGAGCAAAGGGTGAAATCTGAGATAGTACTTGAGTAGGGTAGAGAATTGTGGTCCTATGGTTTCAAGATCATCACTGTGGCTCTAGGTTTCATATTCCATAGCCAGGGAGAGGGGAAGGTAGCCCAGGGGACATAACTGGAGCTATTGTCAACCAGTTATTCATGTTCTTTTAATCAGAAAAGCAAACCCTCTTAGAGATGTCCCCTGTGTCTCATTGTCTGAAACTTTCTCACACAGACACATCTAGATGCAAGCATGTTTTAAAATGTTGACACCGGGCCTTCCCAGTCTTAACAGTGCCGGTAGGCAAGAAAAAGGATTTTGAAGAATTGAAGTTGGGCAGGATGAAACCAATGATGCTATCACAAAATATCATGGTAATGAAAATGTAGGGTATAGAAAAAGTAACAATCAAGGGCCTTGATGATCAAGATAAAAAAATTCAATGAAACAAATCAATATGGTTGTGCAAGCTTCATAACTGGAGTCAAAGTTATGAGATATCTAAAAGTTTGAGATATCTAAAAGGAAAGTCAATGGCTGATCTAAACAAAGCCTGGTTCTTATTATAATAAATAGCTGTGCTTGTTCAAATTAGGAAAAGAGGCCCCTTCATATGTGCAAATTTGCACTCTCAAAATGAACCAAAAGAATAATTCCAGAAACATTTTGGAAAATGATAGCACTTATAGAAACCTTTCATAAAAGAATTTTCTTTAAATGTTAGTACTATATTTGATCGGTGCACTAAAAATTCACACGAGATGATCAGGGAAGATATCATTGAGCAAAGACAGTGGGACTCAATCTCACAGAACGAATTAGGTTAACTAGGTCAGGATGGTGAGGCAGGAGGGAAGGCTGGAGCAGTGCTTCAGTTAGAGAGAGGAGTCTATGCAAAGGACCCATGGCAGACTGCGTGGCACAGCCCAGGAAATAAAATCCTCAAGTGCCTGAAAAGCAGAGGCAGAGCAGCGAGATTAATCTGGAGACAAATGAAAGGGTTGGTTGCTGCAGGATTTAATGCTCATGTTAAACATTTTGAAAAATGTAATCCACTGAAGTGTTAAAGCAGCAGCATTACATGCTGAGATTTTTTTTAAAAGAATCTCACAGACTATGAATTTGAGACAGTCAGAGAAGTACATAAGCACCCACAGTAGAGGAAATCATAGTTGTTTAGGCCAGAGGAAGGGAAATGTTAGGAACAGAGAGATGTTGTGGGGGGGTGAGCAATATTAGTAAATAGAATTGAAAGGGCTTAGTATGGTTGAGTTTGGGGCAAGGGCATATCAGAGGTTTCAGATACTCTTAGGTGTGTGATTTTAAGTTGGATAGATGTGCATTTCCTGAGTGAGAGAGCGCTAAAAAGCTAGAGCTGAAAAGAAAACTACACTTGGAGTGCCCCATTAATTAATGAGATATTTGCCAAGAAATGAAGAAAGATTCTATGGACCCAAATTTGATCAACTTGAAACTTTTGTCGAGGTCACAGGGCAGAGAGTTTATAATGGGCATTGAGGAAGAGAGGCTCATTGGCACCCGGTCACCTTTCAGTAAATGTGGGAGAAGGCCCATGTGGAAAGTAAGAAGGTGGTTGAGTTTGAGA